TTTTGGCTAATTTAGTATCTTTTTGATTTTTTAACTAAAAGGGAGGTTCCCAAACGAGGCCTAAATAGAAGACAAATTGTGATTTTTTTTTTTTTTATTTTATTTTTTTAATTGGTAGTGAGAAAGCAAAACAACTAAATGAGAAGACAAATTGTGATATGTCTGCATTAAGGCTGTGTCTCACAGGGGGAGAATTTCTCGGTACAGCACTATGTAAGCATGAATAATCTGATTTTTAAACTTTAAATATAATTTTAATTTAACCATTCCATTCAAGTTTGATTTTAGAACACTAGTTGATTTATTGAACTGTATATATATAAAAAAAAAAATTAACAAAAATTTGGATGGAATAACTAAAAGGTTATTTACTCCAACATCCTCTCAAAACTATTAGTCAATATCATTTTAGTCTCTAATTTATGAATTCGTACATTTTGAATTTTTCAACTATAAAAAAATATATTATTTTCATCACCTACAAATTTTTTTCAGAATCTCTCCAAAAATGATGTATTTATATGATTTTTATAATTGAAAGAGTCAATATAAACGAATTCATAGATGAGGGGTAAAGTGATATTCATTTATAATTAAAATGATCTTAATGTAATTAATCCATATTCAAATTAAAACTGAATTTAAAAGGTAAAGACCAAATCATTTATATTAAAACAACATGAAACAAAGTAAACTTTGAATTAACCCATACGAATGAAAAGTATAATTTACCTTGTTTTTTTCTTTTAAATTTTGAAAAATGTTTGGAACTTTCTTTTTTTAGGATTTCATAATTTTGTTTGAATCTCAATTATTGATGTATGTATGAAACTTACTCAAATACTTATGAAACCCACGCCATCAATAATTAAAATTAAAAAAAAAATTATAAGAATTCTAAAAAAAAAGAATTTTCAATCATTATAGTTAAATTTTTTTAACTCAAACGTCAAGTTGGGCCACTCGCCGGTTGTGTGAATCATTCATCCTTAATTACATCATAGGCCCTAGCGGCTAGCTCTACAAACAGAAATTACGGCAGTTGACTCGCTCTCTCTCTCTTTTTTTTTTTTTTGTTTAGAAAGGACTCGCTCTCTCTTTTGAATGTTAAGTTCAATGTATTCAAGCTTCAACGAAAAAATATCTAATTTAGTTGAGATAATTATATGGTAGTGTTGTATATATCAATTAATATATTAATTAATATATTGATATTAGTTAAGATATTATTATTGATCTCATTCATTATATAAATTATGAATATCAAAATTTTTTTAAATTATATTACATTATTAATTAATATATTAATTAGTACATATAATATTATTTGAGATAATATTATTAATTAAGCACAACATTAAGCATCTTTGACTAGCCAAAATGTAGTATGTTAGACAAAGCATCTACATGGACAGAAATCATCAAATTAGTTCCAAAGATATGTGACTAACTATATGCTCAATTATTACTACATATATTTTTTAATTTGTCTATTATATTTTTTTTAGTTTTTAAATAATGTAAAAATATAGTATTTAGTATTGGGTGGGCACTACGATGATAGACGAACTAAACAATTTGACCTCAATTTGTTAAGTAAACCAGTCGATCTTTAATATTTTGAAATTCGTTAAAAATTTTAAAATGAGCTTGAATAATTAATTACTCATTTGTCTCTGTCCAATTAATCTAAAACTATATACAAATATCAAATTATTCGAGTCCGGCTTGACAAGAGCTTGTTTAAGATCGGTTAAAAAAATTAACGAACCAAACTTAAACAAATTTTTAAGCTCATTAAAATTTTCAAACCAATCTTAAATAGTTAACTGCTCGGCTCATTTGGCTTGTTTAGTACATGACCAATATAGTGTTCCAAAAAAATAGGATAATTAGGTGAAATATCATTTTATTTTTTCTTTCTAAAGTCTAAAAATTGTAATTTTAAGAAAATATAGAGATCTAATGACTTGACACACAAGACAATAGCATAAACAAAAACAATCACTACTCAAGGAGCATTTTTGTACAATTTTTTTTAAGGTAAAAATGTGATAATTATAAAATAAAAATTAAAAGTATTTTTTTCATAATTTTAAAAAATGTATATTTTTTAATTTATTTAAACTATTCCTATTTAATAAATTGAAGCTATTTTACCTTAGCCTCCTCTTTTTGATGTAACTGTGAACGTACTCCTTGTATTCCATATTATATCAACAGAGTTTTTCTTTTGTCAATTAAAGAACTTAATGAATTGTACTAAAAATTATACCAAACAATTTAGAGATAATTACCTAAAAGTCCTATCAACATGTTTGGTTGTAACTTAGGTCCTATCAAAAAAAATTTGAACCAGTAAGTCCCATTTTTAGGTAAATATACGTGTTTGCCCTTTAACAGAAACAACTATATATAAAATTCCATTCATGTTATTTACTAGAAAAAATAAAAAGAAATCAGTTAACAGATCAGTTATGGAAGTAGCTGAAGGTTCAAATCGTGAATGATCTTGAAGGATTTATTGCTTTGGTTCGCTATTATACGTAATTGATTTCTCGATTTTGATTCAAATAGGAAAGGATCTTGAAGGATTTCTTAGTTTGGTTCGCATTTTGAGTTGAAATATATTGGAGTTTGTTATGTGCGATTTCGATTTATAAATTGCAGAATTGATTTCTGGATATTTAATCTTTGATCTGGTTTATAGGTATGTATTGTTTCGATTTTATATATTATGTTTTTTTTATAATTTTCTTTAGTTTTGATTGAATTTATTTATGAGAATATGTTGAATAATTTTGTTTTTACGGATTGAAGACGTGATTTGCTGGATGATTTCTCGATTTAGTTATTTATTTTATGAATTGAAAACGTGATTTGTGAAGTATTTGTATTGTTATGAAGTTTTTTGTTCTGGTGAAGTATTTGTGAAAACTGAGAAAGTTTTTAGTATTGTTCCGATTTTTATTAATGCGATCTTTTTTTCTTGTTTAGATTGAAAGATGAGTGAAGGTTGTACAAGTACGCCTATTTTTTTGTTGTGCAAGTATAATGGTTGCACATTTGCAATTAAGATTGATCAAAATGTTACATATGATCAGTTGGTTGAGAAGCTATGTTTGAAATGGGATAATTCGCAATCTGATAATATTTGTCTATCTTACTCATTGTCTGGACATCCTAATTGTACGTTGGACAACAATAAGGAGTTAGATTTGTTGTTGGCATTAGTTGTGTATTTTGATTCAAAGTGTATTTATGTTGTTGTGCAAGTAAAAGACTCAACCATTGACTGTGGTTATCTCAACAAAAGATTGGATTATGGAGAAAGAGAGTCAATGTTGGATCTTGAAGTTTGTGATATTGCATTGTCTCATGACAGCAATAAGTCTGTAAACTTGTCAAACAGAGCATCTACATCCTCCAAAAGGAATTCGAAGTTGGAGGTTGAAGAAGAGGTTGATATGTTATCATCATTTTGTCGACACAAGGGAAAAGTAGTGTTGTCTGCTGGTTGGGCAGTTAGTATTACACATGTAGGACATAAATTTGAAGGTGGAATTGTTGAATTTCGTAATGCATTGTCAATGTTTTCTATTGAGTGTGGATTTGAGTTCATATTTGTTAAGAATGATAAAGTTCGTGTTACCGCACAATGTTTGTTTAGAGAGACAAAAGGTTGTATGTGGAATGTTCATGGTAGAGTGGATAATGCTAATGGGTTCTTTTATGTAAGGAAGTTGAACAATGTCCACACATGTGGTGCTGAAGTACGTACGATGAATCATTCTCGTATGAGTTCTGATTTAGTTGTTGATTTGATTGTTGAAAGTGTTCGTAATAATCCATTGACACGTCCAGTTCATGTTGTTCGGGACTTTAAGTTGGGGTATGGGCAGAGAGTTAGTTATCGTCAAGCTTGGTTGGGGGTAGAGAAAGCAAAATGTGAGATTTTTGGAGACTACTTAATGTCATTTTACCAGTTAAGATGGTATGTGGATGTTGCAAAGAGTTGCAATCCAGGGAGTTACATTGAGTTTGAGTGTGACGATGATACTAAACGGTTTAAAAGATTATTTTTTTCTTTTCATGGTTACATTAGCAGATTTGATTATTGTCAACCTCTCTTATTCCTTAATGGCACATTTTTGAAGGGAAGATTTAGAGGAAATTTACTTGCTGTTACAGAAAAAGATGGAAATCAAGGTACATAAGAAATCTGTTTTCTCTGTTCTGAAATTGAGAAAGTTCTCAATTTAGAAATATGATTGAATGTTTTAAATTTTATATAATATTGTTGTTGTATATGCATTTTTTATTTTTTCAGTTATTCATTTTAGTGTTTGATATTTTGAATGTTAAAGTGTTACCATTTTCTAAGAATAATAGAATATTTTCATTTTTTATGTTTTGTACATGCAGGGTTCTTTCCTGTTTGTTTTGCAGTTGTTGGCTCAGAGAATCAAGATAATTGGCGTTGGTTTTTGGAGCATTTGAGTAGAATTGTTTCACCAGAACGAAATATTACATTTGTGTCAGATCGTAACCTTGGATTAGTTGAAGTGTTACCTAAGGTTTTCCCAATAGCTTTCCATGCTTATTGTTTATATCATTTGAAGATGAACTTGAGGCATCATTTGCGTGGTATGTTTCATGGATTGAAAGAAAAGTTGATCACTCTATTTGGGAAATGTGCATATACTCCAACTGAAGAAACATTTCACCAATGTTTGGTTGAGTTAAAGACTGAAGGTGAGTCAAGAGTTGAAAAGTTTTTAGATGACATACCATATGATCATTGGAGTAATGCATATTTTCGAGGGCAACGCTTTGGAGAGATGTGGTCAAATGTAGCTGAATCTTTCAATTCATGGATACGAGAGGAACGCCACTTGCCTATCACATAGTTGATTGATAGTGTAAGAATTAAGTTGATAAGGAAAATTGCTAAAATGAGGGAACTTGTTAATAAATGGAATGGTTTGATATGCCCGAAAATGGAGTCCAAGTTGCATGATGATTTTAATACTTCGAGGCCATGGATTATTAGTTCATCTGGAAATGATGTCTATGAGGTGCATTCACATTCATCTGTTTCAGTTGACATTAGTAGACGAATATGTTCTTGTGGCGAGTGGCAGGTGAAAAGGTTTCCATTTGCGCATGCAGTTGGTGCTATACAAAAGAGTGGACATTATTTGAGTTTATTTGTTGATCAATACTTCTATGTTCAAAGTTATCGAGAGTCCTATTCTTTTCCCATATATCCTGTTCCTTCAATTTGGAAACCAGATTGTAATGTTGATGGTGATAGTGAAGTTGTTCTTCCTCCTTTGTCTAAGAAGCAATTAGGAACGCCAAATAAGAAGAGGATTCATTCGAATGGTGAGAAAGTAAGGCAAATTACTTATAGTAGATGTGGGAAGGTTGGCAATCACAATAAGAAATCGTGTAAGGAGGCTTTGTGATTTTTTATTGCTGTTTTGTGATTGTAAAAATTTTGTATTCATAAATTTCTTGAAGTAATAGTTTGTGCTGTTAAGCGCTGAGTAATAATCTTCTATGTTTTGAATAAAGTGACATTGAATTGAAAGTGAAAATATTCTTAGTTTCAAATTTTAATTTTGAAATTGTTTGTGATAAAGGCAAATTACTTGTAGTAGATGTGGGAAGGTTGGCAATCACAATAAGAAATCGTGTAAGGAGGCTTTGTGATTTTTTGTTGCTGTTTTGTGATTGTAAAAATTTCGTATTCATAAATTTCTTGAAGTAATAGTTTGTGCTGTTGAGCGCTGAGTAATAATCTTCTATGTTTTGAATAAAGTGACATTGAATTGAAAGTGAAAATATTCTTAGTTTCAAATTTTAATTTCAAATTTTAATTTTGAAATTGTTTGTGATAATATTGTTTGGTTGGCTTTCGGAAATAAACTTGACTGTTGAATGTTTGTTTTGAAGATTACGTGAATACTATATAAAAAGTGAACATATTCTCAGTTTAAGTTTTTAGTTCAAAATAGCTGATTATGTGACAATAGTGTGAGGCTCTTGTTATGAATTGGAACTAGTTATAAATGTGATCAATTGAATGAATGTGAATTAATATTCTAAATAGATGTGGTCAATCCTTTATGTTTTGATTAAAGTAACAGTGGACTAAAAGTGAAAATATTCTTTGTTTTGAATTTTAGTTTTTCAAATTGTCATAATATTGTGAGACAGCAAATAAATTGTTGTGATAATCTTGTTGTTTGAAAATTGAGTGATCTGTATAAAACTGAAAATATTCTCAGTTTTAAAGTTTCTAAGTTTGAAAATAAGTGATTGTGAGGCAACAAAACATTGCATAAAAACTGAAAATATAAACAAAAACATCAACAAAGCACTAATTGTGATATAGTAAAGTTTTGTGTCCTCTATTTTCACATGTAATACTATTTTCGCTTTTCCCATATAGTAGTCTGAGGAACAAGATAATAGAAACTGAGAATGTGGACAAAAACATCAACAAAGCTCGGGTGCATGTATCTTTGAGAGTATGACAAAATATTCCATTACACATCATAGAAATTGTAATATGTTTGTTAGGTAATATGCTTGGAACTATTAACAAAAACATTAGTCATCGTATCAAAGTGTTACAAAAAAGAGTTCATTGAGTTACACATCAAAAAAGATTTCATTGAAGGTTGCAATCTTGACTCTACTTGACTTTGATTGATCTTTGTGGATCACTGAGGAACTCATGTACCATGTCTGCTCTGAGTCTTGTGGATGTGCCTGGTGGTAATGTGTTTGGAATTGGTTGATGCCTCATGTATTGTCTTATGATATAATTTGGTAAGATTCCACTTGATCACCCTTGTGCATGCTTTGCTAACTTCAGGGTGGATAATCAGTGTGTGCTCACACAATCAATACTACAAAGCAAATGTAAAGAATTTTTGTCATTTGAATAAGAAATAATACTATCTGTTATTAACAGCAAACTAATAGAATAGAGTAAAGATGTACTTACTAAGAGAGCCATAACACATCCTGTGACTTTTGCTGGATTTTTGTGGTATTTTTCAATTGAAGACATCAGTGTGCTCCTTATTGCTTCTGCCCAATTGTATTTTCTCATTGAGTTTATGTTTTCTATGTAATTAAGAAATAGCCATCAAACTGTTGTTCCTGATGTAGAGAAAAAAGCTTCAAACAAGTATACATACACAACATCCTTATCACATCTTCAATGTCTTCTTTCTTCTTGCCTTTCAATGCTTTTTGCAACAAGTCGGTGATGGTTGTGCTCGATAACCTTTCAGTTTGTATGCATCTTCTTGTCAGAAATGATGATATACTTTTATTTCCATAACCAAGATGCATCAGCTTATCTCCACAAGATATACCGAAGATGGACTTGATGTCTTCTGTTGTTAGCTTTACAGTTTCTGGTCTTAACTGGAAAGAACCATTACTGCCTGGCTAGTATGTTTCAATTATTTTCAATGCAAAGTCATCATATTTTCTGCATTGTTTACAATTCATCTTGTTTTTCAATATTACATCAAACAATAACCAAAATGGGGTTTTCTTTAAGCCATTAATATGCTCATTCCTGAATTTGATGTGCTGTAATAGCTTCACTATTGTCACCATGTTTGATCTGAAATTTTGTTCTTTTACTTCTTGTTCTTCTTCTTCAGCATCTTCTTCTTCTTCGTCTTCAGTATTTTCAGCATCTTCTTTTTGTTCTTCTTCAGTGTCATCAAGTTCTTCATCACTTTTCTCACTGAATTGAGCTGTAGTTACCTGTAGGTCAACATACAATAGATATTAGTTTTTGAAATAATTGAAGTTTAGGAAACTAAAAAGTTTCTCAGTAATAATTCAGTGTATAAAAATAGGGATTTTTCCTAACTTAAATTGAAATTCAAATAAGATGATGATGTGACCTGTCTTGTTGTCAGCTGATGTAGTGATATGACTTTTATACGTTTATGTAATTTGATAAGATTCCATTTGATCACCCTTGGGCATGCTTCGCTAACTTCACGGTGGATGATCAGTATGTGCTCATACAACCAATACTACAAAGCAAATGTAAAGAATTTTTGTCATTTGAATAAAAAATAATACAATTTGTTATTAACAAAAAACTAATAGAATAGAGTAAAGATGTACTTACTGAGAGAGCCATAACACATCCAGTGACTTTTGTTGGATTTTTGCGGTATTTTTCAATTGAAGACATCAGTGTGTTCCTTATTGCTTCTGCCCAATTGTATTTTCTCATTGAGTTTATGTCTTCCATGTAATTAAGAAATACCCATCCAACTGTTGTTCCTAATGTAGAGAAAAAAAGCTTCAAACAAGTATACATACACAGCATCCTTATCACATCTCCAGTGTCTTCTTTCTTCTTGCCTTTCAGAGTAAATGTTTATGATCGGAGGTTAGACGGTAATGACAATTTGTAGGCATGGTTTATTTTCCCAGTAGATTGTCAATGCGAGTTAGTTTATTATGGGAATGGTTATTGTTCAATTAACGACAAACAGGTGCCAAGGATGGTGAAGTATCGACTTGAAAATTTCAATATTAAAAGGGGGGTTACGTATTGTAAAATGAAAGGGTATCTGAAGTATTCTACGAGTGACATGCCAGAAGATTCGCAAATGAGGGCCTCCTCCATTGTTGTGTTATCTAAAAAATATACTAATGATAATGTTAATGTCTGGCATTGTCCTCCAACGAAGGCCATTCCGATTCTGACACGGACTAAGTCTGTTGGTTTACCGGAGAGACGAAGAGATTTGTTGTTAGGAGGTTTTGGGGAAAGTGGTTCAGTTATTCATGAACGCAGACGTCGTTTGAGTTTGTCAGAGATTGATGTACACAGAGGTGGTGATGACACTAGTGATGTTGATCCTGGTCCGTCGATTTCAGAGGTTGGACATAGCAAAGAGGAAGTTGATCGTAGAGGATCAATTGTTATGGATGCAGCAGAATTTTCTAATGTTTTACGAAATGTAATCATCAGTGTAAAAAAATAGTGATATGACTCAAGATGTAAGAGTTGATGATAAGGGAAATGTAGTAAGTAAATAAAATTTTAAGTGGTTTCATAAATAAAATAAATAAAATTTTTCATTAATCATGACAGTGGTTACATTAACATCAAACCATTCTCTCATTTTTGGGGACATTGCATCTAGCCAACTACTGTCCCCATTTGTTAATAAAATACAAGGAATTCCTCCTCTAATAGTGAGATCTGGTTGGAACTTAACAAATACATGGAAATCTCTCTGGCAGCCTACTAAATTCTTCATTAATTCGGTAGGGACTGTCGAGTATTTGATGTCGTCTATGACGTTGTAGACGGCGTCTTGGTCGTAGTCCTTGAAGCTTATTCTGCCGGAGAAGTAATTGTGTCGTCCGAGGCTTCTGATACCGAAGATGGACTTGATGTCTTCTGTTGTTAGCTTTACAGTTTCTGGTCTTAACTGGAAAGAACCATTACTGCCTGGCTAGTATGTTTCAATTATTTTCAATGCAAAGTCATCATATTTTCTGCATTGTTTACAATTCATCTTGTTTTTCAATATTACATCAAACAATAACCAAAATGGGGTTTTCTTTAAGCCATTAATATGCTCATTCCTGAATTTGATGTGCTGTAATAGCTTCACTATTGTCACCATGTTTGATCTGAAATTTTGTTCTTTTACTTCTTGTTCTTCTTCTTCAGCATCTTCTTCTTCTTCATCTTCAGCATTTTCAGCATCTTCTTTTTCTTCTTCTTCAGTGTCATTAAGTTCTTCATCACTTTTCCCATGCAATTGAGTCTTGTTGAGGGCTGTCTTTAACTGATTCAATCTTAACATCAGGATTTCATGCTTTTTTGCTTGACAAGGTGTATCCTTCATGTATTGATGGATGATTTTTTGCTGTAAAAAATATCAATATAAAGTATGTAATGATTTACATCTGATTATTGTAATGCTAATATGAAATTGTTCTTACCAGTTAATTTGCAACGTTGTAGTGCTTGTTCTTTCCTTTTCTTGATCTCAAAGAGTTGAAATGTTTCCAAGTCCCAAGTGTTTGTCGATAACAAGTAATGTCCAATGATTGAAATTGTGGATGGGGATATGGATGTATCGACATGGGAGGGATTCTTGCAAAGTATTTTTCAAAATCTTTTTCCTTTGTTCTGAAGTTTTCTTCTTCAACATTGGCTGTTTTTTACAAAAAATATGTGAATATTCACAGTAATGGTACGAACTCAATATTCATATGTCAATGAAAAGCAACAAAACATGATTAACTATGATTTATCACTCAAATTGTTTTGAAATCTGAGTATATTCCCAGCAATGATACCAAAATCAAAATTTGAGAACATTCACAACAATGATAACAAACACAAAAAATCTACTTTGAAACCAAAATTGAACGGAAGATAAAGTATAGAATT